TATATATATATATATCTATATATCTATATATATATATTTTTTTTTTTTTGTTCGAGGTCCCTGTGAGAGAGGTGTAGAGTTGGGGTACCTGGGCGTTCCGCTACGGTTCTCGGAGTTCGCGGGGGGCTGAGGGGCGGTACGCCGTATAGAACTTCACTACGTTAGGATGAGACTTTAGACTCGGGTCTACCAAACTCATAAGAGGTATCCTGTAGGAAGAAAAGAACCCATTAAAAAGTCAAAGACAAGGCACCATTAACAACAACAAAAAAAAGACGTAAACGAACCACCAAAAGGTCCCATAACCGCAAAAATGATCCCCGCCCCGTTGGGTTAGTGATTTTTCTTTAAGAAGTAGATATTAAATACAGTGACATGGTGGTGCCGATTTTTGAAAAGGGGAATGCCCTTTAAGCTTCCGATTTCAAACGTCACATAAACATTTTAAATATAGCAATCCCTTTTGCACATTCGTGAGGAGGGAATGACGATAGATAATGTTGAATAGATTGGTTTGAATTTGTGGTTGGATGAAAGGGGGAGCTTAGAATAAATTCAAAAATTTCAAGACGTCATTTTTTTTCTCACAAAATAGCATAAGCCTGGGCGAAGAATTCATTTTAGAAAATTCAAATATCATGAAGTGGTAAAAATATGTTAAGAGAGAAGAAATTTCTTGATGTTTTTAATGGCACTGAGGGTAATAAATGGAGATATATTGAAACGGTTATCGTACAGGTTATTTGCTTATAGTAACGCGCAATTTTCTATGTTAGAATTCTGAAACTAAGGATTAGATTCAGATATTTTGGTTTAAGTAGTAGCAATAATATAAATATAAAGCAATATATCTATATTCAGGATGCCTAGAAAATACAATAAAACACAATATTCTTTAAACTCTCCAACTTCTATGGTGCTGACTATTGCAAAGCGCACTATAATTCTTTTCTATCTTAAAATAATAGACTGAGAAAAACAAGGACATGCAATAAGTCCTCTGTTCTTCATGTTTTTATCAACTCTTTGGTGTATAGACTTCATCTTTAATTTGTCAGATAATTTTCTGAAAATGCGCGAGTGAGTGATATAATATATCTACATCATATTTGCTTTAAAAAAAGAAGAATACATTTTTAGTGCGAATAGAAATATCATTGAAAAGTATCAATATATTGATCTAAACAATTAAACTAGTTCTATCAGTCGTTTGAAGAAGTCTTTCATTAATAATAAAAACACAAAAATACTCCCAACTATAAAAAATACCAAATCAAATTAATTAAAGAAGCCAATAAGAACACATCGACCAAACGTGTGTGTCTTTTTCCCTTTATAGGGCTTTTTAGGGTGGTGAATGGGCGTTGGGTATTTTTTAATACACTATATCTTTATATCTCATTAACTGTAAGAAAAAGATATATCTCTATTCATCTATATATTAATACATACATATACAGACCGAGAGAGAGATATGGATTAAGAATTCAGCTACTATGACGACCCATCCGTTTTTTTTTTTATTAGTGTTATGATTATTATTTGAGGGTGCAGAAATAAAACATACAATGACTCGTCTTAAGTACACGAGGAACGCAGAACATCGCTGCCTCCCCCTTTCCCTCCCTTCCCCCGCAGCATCCGCGCGCCTGATCCCGAGGTGGCGAAATGGCAGCAGAGCCCCCACTCCAGCGCCTCGGCTTTCGCGATAAACGAGGCCCCGTCCTCGAGCGCGACGGCCTCGCCGTAGATCGGGGCGGCCGTCAGGGCCGAGCTCAGGAGTTTGCCGTCCGCCCCGAACGCGGGCATCTCCGTCCCGGCCGGCAAACACTCCACCGGGGTGGAATGGGGGGAGTAATTCGCGAGGACGACTTGGACCTTCGCCAGGAGGGCCTCGAGGGGCGGGTGGGGCTTGGCGAAGTCGCGGGCGCGCGCGAAGGCGGGGTTGAGAAGCCGCGGAAAGCGGTAAACCTTCACCGCCATCAGCGCCGCGAGTAGAAAAGCCAGCGCGAGAAAGCGGCGGTGATCGGGCGCGAGCGCGGCCGGGCCGCCGCCCTCGCCTCCTCCGGGCGATGGAAAAGGAAGGGCGACGTAGCCCGTGACGTTAAAGGCCTGTTGGAGGTAGAAATGGGCGTCGCTGCCGTTGATGTCGCGCAGGGCGACCTCCAGCAGGTTCTCCAGGAAGCCGCAGATGCTCTGCAGGACCGGCACGGGCGTGTGGGCCTCCCCGGCCTGCAGCACCATCGCCGCGATTTGGTTCTGCGAGCCCAGCCCGTCGGCGGTGTGGGTGTGTTGGATGATAGCCGGGTCAAGCGAGAGTTGCCGGGCCTCGCAGCGGGCGCGAATCGCCTCGCGAAAGCGCCCCACCGCCTCGGTGGATTCCTCGCCGCGATGGGCGTCCTGGAAAAGCGCGAAAACCGTCGCGAACGGGTGGTAGGGGTTGGCATGGCGGGCGGCGCAGGAAAGGCCGAGGTGCCACTCCCCCAGCCGCGCGGCGTGGAGGGAGGCCGCGAGGTAGACGGCGTCGAGCGTGCGCTGCTCGCGGACCGGGACGGCAGGAAGCAGCGCCAGGGCGAGGGTCGCCTCGCCCGCGTGGAGGAGCGCGAGAAAGGCGTC